CTGATGGTTTTTTGAATTATTTTTGCGATTTATTTGTTTACTTAGTGTTTTGGGATCTACGGGAAAGAGTTTTTTTAAATCTTTAAGATAATATTTACTAACTAAATATAATTCTATATAAGGTTTGTATCTGGCACTTGGTAAAGATTTGGATAATACGTATATATATAGATGAAGTAAACTCATGAACATGAGTAAAAATTTAGGTGATCAAATCTTTATAATAATATTTACCAACTAAACATAATTCTATATAAGGGTTGCATCTGGCACTTGATAAGGATTTAGATCATGCGTATATGAAGTAAACTCATGAACATGAGCAAAAATTTAGGTGATCAAATCTTTTATAGTAATGCTTACCAACTTTATTATGATATCAATAGCATTCAAATCATTTCTCTTAAAGATTTAATATTAAAGGTTGCATAAATTTTTATATAAAGGTTGTTACACTAATGCTAACTTTAAAAATTTTTTCATGATATATTAACCCGGGTCATGATCCAGGTTGATACCAACTACCCCAGTAGTACCGACAGATCTTCACTGATTGGCACCAATCAGATTTGATCAAAACAATGATTTTTAAAATAACAAACTATTATATTCAGATTAGGTTATGAACTTATAATCATATCAGAGCTTTTTTTATACCAAAATTTAGCAACAATTTTTTTTATTAATACAAAGTAAGTAATTTCTTATATAAAATTTTGAGTTATTTGCTATTTATTAAAATTTTTTAAAAAACATATGATTTTCACGTTACACCTGATCTTAAAATCTAATTGTTCAATTTATGCTGATTAGTGAAAATCTGTCGGTGCTACTGGGGTAGTTGTTGATACCTGACTCGTAATTATTAACCTGGGTCACTAGTTTTCGACCCGGGTAAGAGCTCTAGATATACCAAACAGAATTGGATGATTTTACTATCATTCGATTTGTCTTATCGAGATGAATTGAATGGCACCAAAATTACCCAATTCTGATAACTATATCAAGAGAAATTATTCATTAACATTTGTTTAAAAAAATGTTCTAATTTGATACAGTGTCTAATTGATGCTGCTTATTTTATTTGTCAAAGATGGATATAATTCTATTTGACAGTTTAAAGGTATTATTGTGTGTCAAATTAGATATTGCATCAATTATTTTTATAAATTTTATTATAAAAATATTTTAAATTATTATAAATCTTTAAATAAAAGTTTGGTTTTTTTTTAAAAAAATTTATATACTATATTTTTACAACTATTAAAATAATAATAATATTTTTTATAGAATTAGCTATATATACTGTATATATATACAGTATATACGTATATGTAGTGATGGAAATTCTACCAAATGGTCATTCTACCGGTAGCTACCGGGTAGATCTACTAGTTATATAATAATAGCAGACAGCAATGTATGACATTACGTTAGTATAATGAATAGATTCTATTGGTTTAGCTAATAGTAGTCTAATGGTATTTACCCTGCATATTAGCCTAACGGTATTTACCGGTATCTACCACTACGTATATAATGTATTAAAAATTTATTTAATTTTTAATTTATAAGCAGCTTAAATTTTTCTTATAACATACGTACAGTATTTATAGTACTAAATCGCACCAGTAGTGTTAACACCACATACTGTATATGTTTTTGATAGGTTTATAAGTAAAATTGGGTTAAGATAAACTAGTATTATAGGTTTAAATTTTTGTTAAGGTGAGGTTTTGGGATGCTGAACATTTTTACTTAGTTCATTCTGTGTTAATTAATTAGCGATGGTGTTAACAGGTGTGATTTAGTAAAACCGTAAAATCGAATATTATTTTAGTATAAAAAATAAGTTATTTTTTTCTAGATAAATACTTCATCTTTAAAAACAATTTGTAACCAACCATTAATAGGGTTAGGGTTAAGAATTAGAGCGTTGGACTTAGAATAAAATTGTACAGTACAGTATAAAGATTATTTTTTGTTAGAATTTCAAAGGTTGATTTTATATATTAGTAAAATTTTAAAATCTACGTACTGTATACAGTATGTATAAGAAATATCAAAAAAATCACCCAGATAAGAAATAAATGTATTCTTATTATACAGTATACAGTATAATACAGTATATTTTTATTTTAAATATATATATATTAAAAGTAAATTACTGTACGTATAAATATGGGCTAGAAGGAACGAAGTTGACAATTTTTTCAAAATAATTTTTTTTACATAAATCAATTTAGAGTAAGATTAGGATCTTTTCTCACTTAAGACACAAAAGTAGTTGTATTAATAAAATTTTGCAGTATAGCCCTTTAAAGTTTGTATTTCTTATGATCTATTATAAGATTTATATGATTTTCAATTTCGTTCCTTTTTCCAGCACCTAGCCCATATAATTTTTTTAGACAAATTTGTCTAAAAAAATCCTATACGTACAGTAATGTTTAACCAGGGCCACGGAAAATTTTGGAAATAAGTTTTTCCAAATATTTGCACAAAATCCAAATAAATCCAAATTTTTACTACATAATATCTCTTTTATTGGTCCAAAATCGCCTTTGATCGGGAATAATCAGCTATGGGCCTATCAAAGCACCAGGTAGGGACACGGCCATTGTTAGTCATGTGGCATGGCCTAAATTATAAAGTTAATTTCGTAATGCCGGCCAAAATCCAAATTTTTCCAAATTTTTGCTGATACCCAAATAAAGATTTGAAATTTGATACGTATTCGTGGCCCTGTGTTTAAACATCACATTTGCTATATATATTTAGTATTTAAATAAAAATACGTATCCAAAATACTTATTTTATTTCTAATTTAGACTCTTTACTTTGACATAAAGCCCTTAACTCTAAATTTTATTAATAAAATTATTATACAGTATGTGGTGTCGGATACTGCTGGTGTGATTTAGTACGTATATACTATATATATATATATATATATATATAGTATATATATACATTGTTTATAAAAATAGATAATGATTCTAGATTTAACTATTAGTAAACATAACGCAAAATTATACCGACAATTACGTATTTTAATGGAGAAGAACTATATTTCATTCGTATCTAATACGTATCTTGGATGTTGTAATTAAGAATTATTACTAATTGACAAATCGGAGAGGCAAGTATTTTTTACTATATTGTATTAAAAGTACACTAAGAAAACCATATATCTATCTCTTATATACCTCTATATACTTAGTTGTACTAGCATTGAGGCTTAGGCATGCGTAAACGACTTATCCACCAATAAAATTAAACCAATTTTTCATTAGTTTTGAGTAGCGTAATAAATATAAAAGTTCCATAAAAGGTTTCATCAGTTGCCGATTACTATTACATACTTTCAGTTCTCACAAGTTTAAAAGGGTGTACCGCTGCAGTTCGAAAGAATACATGTACAACCATATAATACATTATTTTACCTCTTGAAAGTTTTCGCAACCTATCGAAAAGCAAATTAAAATTTTAAAGTTACGCTTCTTCGTCCGCTTTTGCATATAACTTCAACAGTTCAAAACATCGACACTATGTTTGCTGCAAACGATTCTGAAACTGAAATCTATTACGCTTCGGAGTCACCACCCGATCTCGACAGTGATTTGGAAGAAAACAATGCGCACGACGAAGATTTAGAGGCCGCTAATGACGCTATTGAAGATCTGTCAACCCGTCGTAATAATAACGATTTCAACACAACAAATATGGATTTAGACGGGGAATACACTTCTGAAGACGAAGAACAACGTCCACATATTTCACCAGCAGCTGGACATGCCTTTCAACGCCTTATCGACCCATATACTACTCGTCACCACCGTAGATCATCGTCACAACGTATTCGTGGGTTTTCACCACTAAATTCGCGGTTATTGCGAAGGACAAATGCCATTACACCTTCTTTTCTTACGCAGCACGTAAAACATAATAAAGAGCTTGGTTTAGAAAGCATTAATGGTGCAGGTTCAAAGGAATTGGGACAATTTAGATTGCCAGAATCTAGTTTCTTACGTGCTGGGATGACCTTTTCAGGAACACAAAATTTGATGAATACACAACAACCTTCACAAAGGGATGAGGAATGGGAAGTTAAAGTGGTATTGTATTGAGAGAAAATTATTAAGTTTCGAAAAGTTAATTTCAACCTATATTTTAATAAATTTAGTTAATCTTCACTTTTTAAATGAATGATGGTAGACTGTTCATTATGTAAATTACAAGACTGGTACCGCAATTGGATTAATGGAGGCTTTAAATGTACCAAATAGCTCGAATACTGTTGTCACATATTGGGAAGGTGAGATGATTGATTTTGTCAACCATTCACTTTGGACGGACAAATGGAATTCAACACCCGATATTGATCTTCAACATTGGAAAAAGTTTGATGCTTTTCGCCAAATGGATGTTCGAAGGTATCTTGCTTAATTTTAGAATTTGTAATATTGTAAATCCATAAATGACTTTTTTTATATTAATCAATACTTTATAGTATAATCAGGGGGACACCTACAAAAGAGTGGTTCCAAGAAGCATGTCAAAAATATATATTTATGAGATGGAAAGGTGTATATTTGATTCTTTTTATTATAGTTAAATTCAAATTTTATTGAAACATACCAATAATTGAAATTGCATTTCGTTGGTTATCAGAACATTATTTTGTCAATGTGACTGCACAAGAAAGTGGGTTGACTATTGCAGGGTTTTATTATATCTGTATTAGGAGAAGTGATGGAACAATCGAAGGTATTTGAATTTTGTTCTTTTCAAAACCTTGTTTAGGTATTTTTCTGATATAGATTCTTTTTTCCCACTATTTTTAGGTTATTATTTCGATCCAGTATCTACACCATATCAAAAGTTAACTCTTAAACCTCTATTAAAGGGTAATGGGGTTTCTTTCTGTGATTATAGTTTTAATTAAAATGGATTTCTTTTTTTTTTTTTTTTTTATGTGGTATAAATCTGCTTTTTATACGTTCAACCTTCATTCCAATTCACTTCGGGAAGTATAGTTGAACTTATCATGTAGTATATCTATTTCTCTAGCAAATGTTTCTTTTTTATCTTGTCTATTGTGTTGGTTTTCTATAAATATATATATAGTGTTTAGTAATGATGGAATTACTTTCATTAAAAATTCATATTTTTTAATAATAAAAAAGAGAAAGTTGTGATTTTTTTAAGTTATTTATTTACGAAAAAAAATTTTAATTTATGGTGAATTATAATACGTTATAGAACAGACAAATAATTCTGTCAATAATCAATTTACAAAGAATTATAAAGGTCACTTTTTCAAATAGAAAGTTTGAAAAAAATGTGATCATTTATGATTATTTTTTATTTCTAAAAAATTTGAAAGTGTATGTATATATCAGATAGATACTTTTTTCGAAGAAAAAAAAAAAATTTAAAAAGGGTTGAATTTGTAAGAGGTTAGATCACAATTGTTTCACTAAATCTGAGCAGTATCAATACTTTGCAAGGCAAAAAAATATGATGAAATATAATTGGTGGAAATAAACAGTTCAGACAAACCCACAAAGTTGGACCCTCTCGTGATTTTTAACCAATCAAATTTCAAGATCAGGTGTAACGTAAACAATCGAAGCGAACAAAAACTGAAATAACTCGAAATTTTAATTAAGAAATCACCTTCTGCGGCCTAATTAAAAATGCTCCTCGTGAAATTTCGCCAATATTTTCAATCCTAACTCTACACTGTTCTCATTCTAACCCTAACTATAACGAGGTTTTATTTTTAGTAAAAATTACGGGGGTATGACAATTTTGTGGGTGCTCGTTCAGATAACAAAGTGAAACCATTGGCTATTTTTTAGGAGGTACAAGGCTTTTGTTAACTTTCTTGTCGCAATTTGTGCGTATATATTATATTCGCTAATATTTGACTAGGATTTTGTCGTGACGGCAAATCGTGTCAGAGGACAGGCAGCATCAGTGCGACGCATCTAAACATCACAATCAGCAACAAAACAGCCTTTTGGGGCATGCCTATAGGGCATGCCTTAGTTATATTGTGTAACCTGTACGCTTATTGGTTTGAAGCTACAATATTATAGTAACTGGATACATAAATAGTTTTCAAGTTACCAATATTTTTAAAAAATTATACAATTAATATTAATAAAATATATAGATACATATACAATTTACAAAATTAATACTTAAAAGTCAACAGTTAGAACTAACTTATTATTTTTTAAAAATTAGCAATAATATTAAAGTTGTAATATTTATTATTAACTAATTTTCTAATTTGTTTTTTATTTAAAAATATATCTAAAACAAAATAATTAATTAGAGCTGGTTTTATATTAAAGCTAGAGTAAACTTATAGATAAAATATCTCTTGATATTTTTTATTAATAGATTTAAATACTTGTTTTCAATTTTTTTTTACTTTTAAGCTAATTAATGTAGATCTTTTGAGGCATGCCCCTGTAGGCATGCCTAATTTTTTACTCGTGCCCCGAACCCTAACTCACGGCAATTGTCCGATTTGTAACACAGATTACAAGGGTAATTTGAGTGATCGACATACATATGATAGACCTTTTCATGCAACGGTTTAAATTCCGATTTCAAGGGTTTCTTAAAATGAAACCACGTTCACGAAACATAAAGTATAGTCTAATGATACACATATTTTCTTATTTTTATATTTAAAATGAGATAAGTAACAAATTTGAAAAGAATGCGGCCCTTGAAGTTAGCATTTTGTTTCATTTATACGTGTAGAACTGTTCATTATCCTGCTTCTATAAACTTACCAATTTCGTTTGAAAAATTATGAAACTACCAGAACTATAGGTTGCAAGTTACAACTGCAAGATACCGGGTTTGATTTTAAGTAAAATTCACCAGGCTTTGAAATTGTGTGATTACGAAGAAAATGTTAAGCTAGTTAAATTAGAATTATTACTAACAAGATGATTTTTTAAAACCAAGTAGATTGAAGACAGTTTATTAAAAATTCAATAGGTGGAAAAGAGAAGAATTTGACAAAAAAATAAGATTTACGAAAAATTTAGTTTCTCGAGAAAATTTGATATTATTCAATTCATCTTATCGAGACGAATCGAATGGTACCAAAATCATATAATTCTGTTCAATAGTTCTCAAGAAAATAAATTTTTTGTAAATCTTATTTTTTTTTGTCAAATTCGTCTAATTTCTTAGCACCACGTCTACATAATCAACATGAATAAATAAAATTAACAATATTTCAAGTACCCTGCCCAATAAACCACTAGAACAAAATACAAATACATGATCCACAAGTTATTCTGACTAAACACAATTCATATTTCGAATCCAAGAATCTTTAGTATTATATAAGAAAAATCGCCCTAAATTAAAAATATTGTATAGGGATGTTATGTGGTCCGGTCTTAGACTAATAGACCTGGGCTGGCCTAGACTAGCTAAGTCTTAAGACTGAAGACCAGACTAGACTTGGACCAAAATTTACCAGACTGTTAACATCCTTAATAATATTGTAAGTTTAAATATATATTATTTTTCAATAATATTTGCATTTCAACTAGAATTGTTAGACGAACTATTTTTATGATATCAATCGTTCAAAACTTTCTGATCAATCCAAAGTTTCGTCTAATAAACAATATAAGCTCAAATAACTTACCTCTAATAAATATAACTAATTAAGAGTAAAATAATGGTAAGTATTAACGAATTTGAAAAGCTTAAATATCAGTTACATCAAATTAACGAGCGATCTACTTACTATAAAACAGATTTTCTCCACCACTTTAATAATGTACCAGTCTTTCAAAGTTTCATCTTGCCGAAAGCTCTCGGACTGATGCATCTACTGAATCACTTTTTATGCCACGAATTTGCGAACTGGAAAAGAATGCGTCAAAGATAGGTAAATAATTGGCAATGTTCAGGAGCATGGTGTTTTATAAGAAGTTCTTTTTTATATTTTTCATACCGTTTGATTCGTAGAAATCCCGTTCATTTAAGAAGCCTAGCATAAGGTTTAGCATACTTTTTACTAAGGTTTTAGAGAAAATTTTTAAAAATGTAAATTCGTAGATTTGTGTAATTTACGAAGATCATATGATAAAATTTTAGATGTGACAAATCGGGTGACTGGTATGTACGTTCGTACCTGTTACATTTGAGTGCGGGAGAGTGAAAACGGAAATAAAATTTAGCCCCCAAAAAATTAATGATCAGCGTTTTGATAATTTCAGTAACATACAGATGAAATTATGGTTTTCACTCTCCCGCACTCATTTATTACCAGTAATCATTGTACAGACCATACAGTACTGACCAAACCATCGTACCGTACTGAATATATGTATACTCATTGTGAAGTTGTCAATCTTGGGCAAAACAACATACGAAATTCAAGGAACGAAACTTTGAAAACTGACGACCCAGTTGGGTAAGCAAGTCACTTCCCAATTACATTGTGAGTGGTCAGCAGAGAAATTGCCGCTGCCGTATTTGTTATACCATAGAAAATACAACTTTCCTTTCTTTGGGATCCGTTAAAGCCAGGTTCGATCACAAGATTTTGACCAATCAAAATTATGAAATTTTGTTTACACGGATCATCCTGACGAAGAAAAAGTAAAATGCGAAAAATACAAGAAACGAATGTCTAAACCTATCTTAGTGCATTAAGAAAATATATCTAACGGACGATTTTACCTATAAAACTCATCTAACCCTACCCATACGGACTCTAATCTGACCCTAACCTTAATGTAATTAAATATGTGATCGAACCTGGCTTTAACGGCTCCCTTTCTTTCAAGATGGAATGGTTCACGTTTATTTTAAAAGTTAACTATATGTTCTATATATAATACTTGTTATTTTATTTATTTTTCACAGTAACTTTCGTGTGTCTATTGATGAGTCAATACTTCTGGCTCTCCTAGAGTGTTCATATGCCGACTCTAAACATGAAGTCCTCGGTTATCTTGGTGGGACATGTGACGTAGATCGATTGGACAATACTATTGTTTGTCATGTTAGTCAATTCGTTGCATCTGAAAGGTATTACGACTCGGTGTCACCACATTAAAGGCGCAGCAATTATCCGGATAATAATCTCTCAAATTTATGATTTATGTAATTCAGAGTTGTTACTTCGTTACTGACCGATACTGTACAAGAGGTTGATCAAGCTCGTGAAGATGCGATAAATACATTCAAAAAAATGGGGCTTAAGTTTATAGGCTGGTATCGTAGGTTTGTTTCATTTACAACTTACTTTTTTTAAAAAAACTGAATTTTTTTTTATGAATACAAATGAATTAATTTTATGCCATTTTTATCTGAAATAGCAATCTTGATTCAAATTCAAATACTATTCCCACACAATATGATATAATTAAACAGCAGTCAATACAATCACAGGTACCTTAAAATTTAAATAGATTTCATTTAAATTAAAGATTTTTATATTGCTGATATTTGTTATCTGTTAGTACCCGGATAGTGCGGGTGTAATTGTATCAATGTCTACAATATCTTGTCCTCCAATTAATATAAGAGGATTAGTTTCAGAAAGATCCATAAACGCATTATGTGTTTTCCGGACTGTGGAAACCAATCCTAATAATAATGACAGCTTTTCTTTATCTCAAGCTGTTAAGTCAAAGAACAGTAGAATTTTGAAGGGTAAAGAAAAAGAGGATTCAAAAGCCAACAAAGTCATCTTTACCGTTAACCGACAAATGTACATGTGTTCAAACGTTATGCAACAATTGAATCATGCTCTGATGGTATAGTAATGTAGTCTTTTTATTGGACCATATCGGTCATGTGTTAGAAGTTGCGATCATAAACATGTCATTTATCCGTCAATTGCAACAGACAGTTCTCCGCGAGATTAAACAAACCTATTCTGGTCAGGTTTTAGATTGTGATAATAGGATCGGGCAACGAATATTTGTCGATTCTCAACATGAATCATTTCTTATGAATTTTCTTAAAAAGAGTGTGCTTCAGGTAAGAACATTTATTTCGATATCTTTAAAAAAAAACATTTATAATATTAACAATGAGTTATTTTATTATAGTTTGACAGATCTATAGATCAGGATTTTAGGTCTCTAGCTGTCGCTAAACATCATGTCAAGACACTTATAATGAAACGGGTTAATGATGCATTGGCAACTTGCCAAGGTCATAATGTTAATAATGGAAACGATGTACACCTGAGGCGGAGAAAACTTGAAAAATTAATAGAAAAGGTATTTTATTTTTATAGAATTAAACTAAACCTTCATTCTGGAATCTTGTTCTTTCAAAATATGATATGAAATTACATATAATTTCTTTTTATCAGTTGGTTACTCAACGTATGGCCAAAAGGGAAAAAGGCTGTAAAAAGTCAGAAAATGTTGATGATGTAGTTCGATGGATGAATCACAAATCTTTAGATAATGATCGACAGAACACTAGCGATGGTTTCGAATATAACGATGTAAATATGGAAATTCCTGCGATACCAACGTTTCCATCGTCAGAGCATTCATCTCAAAAGCCTGTTACTTATAAGAAGGAATCCGAATCAATCGATTTTATATCATCAACATCTAAATCAATTCTACCTATGGATACACGTTTAGATGACATGATAGAAGAAAAAATGATTACAACTAATGAATCTAAGGATGGGCCAACGGATGTTGATTGTGACACAAAAATAATTCGAGATACAGATGCTTTGATAGAAATTTGCGAGAATTTACCGGTAGTTATTCCAGCAAAACAACCTTTAAAGAAAACTAGCACAGATTCTTCTCGCAATGCGCCGAATGCAAAAAGAGTCAAATCTTTTGGAGGAAATCTTGCACAAGCTGCATCTTTTCCTGAATCAAAACCGTTTATTGGTTCTGGTTCTGGTTCTACTTCAATGATGGGAGGATCATCTTTTAATTCTAATCAAAAAAATACGTCCTCTATGCAATTCTCGTCATCTTCCACACAAAAAACTGTCATATCATCACCAAAATTTACACCAATATCATCATCTTCATCGACTCATAATCTTTCAATTTCTACAAATAATCCATTAAATACGGCGCAAACTCCGAGCAACAGGCTTCAGTATTCACCAATTAATACGTACCAGTATTCTACAAATTGTTATCGACCATTTCACAATACTCCTGAAGATTTATCTCCAAGTATTCGTCCATCTGTCCCCTGTATTGGGAATAAACCTACTAATGGTCCTCCGGGAACCGGTGTAAATTTACCCCCTATTCAAGGATTGCTTGAGATTACACGACCTCCACCTCCATCTCAGTCTTCTTTATCAAATGGTGTGGTGGTTGTAAATCAAAACACTCCAGGAGTTGTACATCCTCCATTTTCAACTCAATATCAAAATAATTTCTATTCATTTGGTTCTCCGCAACTATCGCAACAAACAAATCACACTCAAACAGGATCTCATTCGATCGTTGCACCAATGCCGCAACATTTACACCAAATGAATTCTCCTACACCGCAGTCTTCATCTCAAAGACATTATATTCCAATTGCGCCTTCACCAACTACAACAACGGGAAATCGACCACCTTTACCATCATCCTCACCTTCAGCTACTATATATACTACCTCAAGTCACCATTCATACACTACAAACTATCATGAGTGGCAGTTATATAATGATTAATTAATTAATTAATTAAAACATTCCAAAGCTACTATTTCGTGTGACTTATCGGATCCTGATTAGTTAGAGTATGGTGTTTCTTTTTTTCTTTTTTTTTTTTTTTTTTTTTTAGAAAATGCATAGTGATTTTTTTGGATACGATTCGGTATTTCGTTTCTAAATTTGTTATAATTCTGTTACACGGGAAATAAAACGTTTTATAGGGTTTACCTTATCATTATTACATATATGCGTGCAATGATTACAATAATTAAAGAATGTAAAGAATTATTAATGCATGGTCGGAGCAGAGCAACCATATTTTGTCAAGTGAGAAGATGGAGTTGAAACAATGGATAGTTCATATTAGGGTTTCTTCGACGTATTTTACGCCCAGAATGATTGACGCTGTATATTGTGGGGTCTACGATAGAAAACGTTAAGCTCATTTTGAAATTTGTCGAATTTTATCATGACGAAATTTGTGTTGTTATTGTTGTTTCAAAAAATTTAAGCGGTGACGTGACGTCTTGCACTTATGTAAAAAAACTTTAATTTGTGCAATCGGACGATCTTCATTTAAAAACAAATATTGATCTTTTTTATATATATTATATATTTGTTAAATGAATTAAGTTTATAAAGCCAAAATTTTGTTTATTTAAAAAAATATATATTTGTAAAATTTATCTCTTAATCTGTAGAGCGGCAAATTTGTTTGCTAAAAATTATTATTAAAATTTTTAATAAAACCTTAAATGTTAATTTTAGCTATATATATATACTGTATATAATTTTTTTAATTTATTTATTATTTTTTTTTTTTAAGGTGAGGTCTTGTATGTTATTGATCGTTATCGTCTCGGTATGATTTTAGTGAGGGTCATAAACTTGCACCTTCACCAGCAGGGATAGAATTTGAAAGTTGAATGACCCAAAGGCTCAAACTTCTTTTTAAAGAGGCTATTTATTTATTTATTAATATCATATAAGATATAATATTTTAAAAAATAGTTTATTTTAAGATTATTTATTATATTATGCGTTTATACACAGTGTTTGTGTAACATATAAATCAACAATATTTATTAAAATAAAACCAATTTTAACTATTATTAGAGTTGGTATTAGATAGTTTATACTAAAATTTTACAAAGAATTTTTTTTTTTAGTTTTTAAAAAGAAGTTTTATAAGCAAAATTTTGAGATATTTTGCTTTGTTTTAGTTGTACAGTACAAAATTGATCTACAAATTGTATTTTTTATTTAATTTGTGTAACTGTATATTAAACACACTATACAAATAAAAATCATCTATTTAAAAAATAGCTTTGAATTTTGGTTTTAAAATTTTTATTATATTACTACTAGCTTAAAAACCTATACAATAATATATAGAAATAATTATATAATTTAGAATAAATAATAAATTTAAAATTGAAATAGTATATATTGAAACAATTTTTTTTTTTTTTTATCAATTCAGCAATTTTGCCAATACTTTATTAGGTATAAATATTTAACTCACAGGGAAAATATAATAATAACTAAAGTTATCTAAAGTCTGCCTAAGTTACAAGTATTAGCTAATCTGGCTTTTTGTGACACTGAAATGTTCAAATTACCTATATTCAATCTGCTATAGTAAAGTTTATTTTCATATTGTTACAAGTAGACTATAGCCTTCTTAGAAATATAGTACTTGCAATATTGCACATGGCAACAGGGATCTATATAGAGTCAGAATAGATATAAAGTGGTGTAGAAGTGGAATATGCTTCAATAGAGTAATTCAGTATAGTTTATATAAGAGTAAGATATATGTTTATTAATTAATGATTCTCCAGTTAACTGGTGCATAATCTTAGTAAAATATGACTCAGATTACTATATAAATTTACTATAGTGCGAATGTGGCGTTTGCCTAAGGTAAACTTTTTTTCATACTAAGTTAATCATCTTTCTTGCTTAAGAGACTTTTGTAAAGTTGTCAAAATGCATCTAATAGTAATTAGAGCATTAAAATTAGCCTGGTGAGTACTGATATATCTTTAAAAAACCTCTTTTTTACTATGTAAATTTTTTTGCAAACAATAATATTGTAGTAGTATTGTTTGCAAAGAAATTTACATAGTAAAAGAGAGGTTTTTTTAAGATATTTCAGTACTCACCAGGCTGATTTTGACGCTCTAACTACTATTAGATATGTCTTGACAAGCTTTACAAAAGTCTCTTAAGCAAGAAAGATGATTAACTTAGTATAAAAAAAAGTTTACCTTGGGCGAACGCCACATTCGCACCATAGTAAATTTATATAGTAATCTGAGTTACTTTTTACTAAGATCACGCATCAGTTGACTGGAGAATCATCAATTAATCAACAAACTTTTACAACAGATCTTTTTTTTATACCTGCCTTTAAAAGTTTTACGATCATTGCCATAGTCCATCCTGATAGCCTTTCTAACTGTGACATAATCTAAATTTAATATGTCTAATTAAATATTGTACGTAAAAATGCAGAATCAGATTAATCTAAAATTAACTAATATGTGTAATAGTTGTATAGTTGATTAACATAGACAACCAGTTAGTTGACAACTAGTTGACAACTGACAGTTAACCATAGTTGAACTAGTTGATTATAAATTGGTTAGTTGATTAAAAAATTTTCTAACCAGTTAGTTGAAAAGTTGTCAACTATTCGGTTTTCCAACTAATGATTTGGAACACTAGTGATAAACTCTGAGGCTGTTAGCAGGTAGTGTATGAGAACTACCTCTAAATAATAGCTGCTAACTTACAGTCTTTTTTCTTACGTCCTACATAAGAGTCGTCAACTTTATTCTAGTATACTGTATTTTTTTCTAGTAAAAAGTTTTTTAGAAATTGTGGTCCAAATGATCGTCGGAAAGAGTTCGTTAATAGGAAGGTTAGAATTAGAGCAATTGAAGATGATTAGTTCATTTAAAGTACTGTTATTAGCTAGATTCTTACTAATAATATATGGTATGTTTTTTTATTTGCTTTGGTTTTGGATATTGAAAAGTAAAGGGAATTTTGAAAAATTATTGTATTTATGATATATAATAGATGCCATTTTTTTTGATTAATTTTAATTTTAGTTGGTGTTGGGTAAAGTAAGCATTTAATTGTTTGGATAGTAGTATAATTGGTTGTAAGAATTTCTATATAGTTGTTGGATGGAATTGATAATAGTAATAAGATAATTATTTAGAAGTATATTTGATTGATTAAAAATCGCTGTATTAAATTTGAGAGAAGAATGATTAAGTGTGAACTAACTGATGCCAACTAAAGGTGTAGTTGAAGAATTGGGAAGTGATGTATTTATATAATATTGTAAAGGAGTATCTAAGTTGGTTGTTATATTTTGAGATTGGCTATATATGGGGGTGAGTCAATAGAAAAGGAACAAATTTTTTTTAAGTAAAAGTTTTCTTGACTTTAAGCTTAAATATCTTGACAATTATTTTATCAAATTTAATAAAATTTTTTTATTTTAATTCTATATAACTTCAAGATTAAAATAAAAAATTTTTTAACAAATTTGATTAAATAGTTGTTGAGATATTTTAATTTAAAAATTAAAAAAATTTTACTAAAAATGATTTGTTCCTTTTCCATTGACTCCCCCCATATGGAAAATATTTGTTTAATATATATTGGATTGGAAATAAGTTTTTGTATTAGAGATTTGAGATTAATTTGTAATAATGATTGTAGTTTTAAGAAGTCAATTTTAAGTGTTATTGGTATTTTTGTTGAGAATAGGTGATTGTAGAGATTGATAGTATTTAATTGAGATATATCTGTTATTGTTGTTGTGTTGTCAGAAATAGTTATTTGGCCAGTTTTATAATTGTTTATAGGGAATATTAAGAAATTTGAAGGATTGTTGTGAGATTTATATAAGTTGCCAATAATTATTATTATTTAAATGAGGTAAAAAATAAAAAGTATTGATAAATAGGTTTATATTATTAAGTTTAAGGTTTGGAAAAGTTGTTGAAATAGGAGAGGAAGATATTTGATTCTGTAGATTTTTAAACCAGCTTGGAGTTTTGGTAGATATTATTCTATGGTAATAGATTATTATTTGTTGTAGTTAGAAATTGTTTTACAAAGTGAATATGATTATTGTAAAGACTTTGTATTGTAGATTTGTTTGGGTTAGGAATAATTTGATAAATAGAATTAGAACTGGGAGATTGATAGTGATTAATAAGTTGGTTAATTGTTGAATATGGGAGATTAAAATCTTTTTTTTTTTAACTTTTCCATGCTATAATTAGCAAATGGAATGCTAGTGGTGTATTTTTATTATCATTAATTGATAATCTATTTGTCACCTGGAGAAGATCTGCAAAATTTTATAAGTAAAATTTACTATTGGTCCAAATGTGGCATGCATGCATCTAAAACTTTTTTTATACTAAGTTAATCACTTTTCTAACTTAAGAGACTTTTGTAGAGCTTGTCAAGGCGCATCTAATGGTAGCATCAAAATCAGCTTGGTGGGTACCAAGATATCTTTAAAAAATGGTTCTTTTACTATATAAACTTCTTTACAAAGAAGTTTACATAGTAAAAGAAACATTTTTCAAAGATATCTTGGCACCCACCAAGCCGATTTTGATGCTCTAACCACCATTAGATGTGCCTTGACAAGCTCTACAAAAGTCTCTTAAGTTAGAAAAGTGATTAACTTAGTATAAAAAAAAAGTTTTAGATGTGTGCACGCCACATTTGGGCCAATAGTAAATTTTACTTATAAAATTTTGCAAATCTCCTCCAGATGACAAATGGATTATCAATTAATTAGTCTATTTATAGTTTAGATATTTACAAATTTTTTTACTTAGTCAGTTGGATGGGAAATTGAGGCTTAGTGCTTTAATTTCTCTTGCAACTCTACTATTTATGATTGTTGAAATAGTCGATTCTGATCTATCATTTTTTCCCTATTTGGTATTGGTATACCAACACCAAATTTCATAGATTGCTATTATATTTAGCCATTGGGCTGTTGTATGGTATCTTTTTTGTGTAATGTTGTTTTTCATAAAAATTTCTTCTATAGTGTTCAGTATTATTGAGTTTTCTTGGATCTTCAAGAATTTATAAACCTCTGTCCAAATTGTTTTACTAATTCTACATTCTATAGCAAAATACTCTGGGGTCTGAATACTGTTTTCACACCAGGGACATAACCCTAACTCTGACAAAGATATATGTTGGAGTTTATAGCCCAGAGATAGAGCCCTGTAGGCAAGCCTCCATATAATGTTCTTTTTCTTGTTGTCGATGCTTTTGCAAAAAATCCAGGTATATAGATAGATGGAGTTAATTGAGTGGTTTTTCTTAATTGGGAGTTCTCGAGTAAGCCAGAGAGTATCATAGTAAAATGTGACTCAGATTACTATATAAATTTACTATGTGCGAATGTGGCCTGCACGAATTTAAAACTTTTTTTTATACTAAGTTAATCACCCTTCTAACTTAAGAGACTTTTGTAAAGCTTGTTAAAACGCATCTAATGGTAGAACAGGGGGAACCGTCACATTATTTGTAGATCCGTTACACAATTCATAAAAATTTTTTTTATATTATTATAAAGTACTTTTTCAAAAAGCTTGCGTTACTTACCCCACTTTAAAACATGGAGTAGTGCTTCGTAAACTTGAGGGTTTCGTATGGTATTTTAATAATATCAGTTGAATCCCAGTGAATCCCACAGCTTTTATATGACGATTTACCCAGCAAAGGTATATATGTAACTAAGTAATTTAAGAAATACCGAACTACAATTCCTAGACGTTAAGCAATAAAAACTAAAAAAAAGTAAGTGAAAGTTAAAAGCAACGATCTAGTAAAGGTAACGTGGGTTTGAGAGT